GAGGGTGGGGGTCAAGAATAACCTGGAGATGTGTATGGAAGGACTTCTTTCTAGATTTGGGTTATCTTCTGCCGAAGTTCAAACGCCGGAACGAGAGAGATAATGTCGAAAGTATCTGTATCCTCTACCTGATAGGATAAGCGGTGATCGAAACTGGCCGACAGACTGAGGTACTCTTGGATGATCGTATGCAAACGAAGGTCACCATTAAAACTACATTCATTTTTCTTGCTCAACGTGTGAAAGTAACCGTAAGGCTCTTAGTCCAATGGTACTGTTTTTTATGGACTACATATTAGTTAGGAGGAAATGGCGAAGCACCCTTCACGACATTCGAGAACGATGCGGAGCCGACATTGGCTCGAACCGTTTCATGGTGGTTGCAAGGATTCGTATTCAATTAATTACGTCCCAGCGAACAGCAGGGAAAGAGGCGAATGCCAGATTCGACACCATCAAACCTGTGAGGCGTTCCAAGACAAGGTCAACAGCAAATTCCGCTGCTGTAAAGGAAATGACTTGCCGTGACTCCGAATTGCTGTTCCAACAGGTCAACCGGTGCCGCGGCAGATATACTCGGCCAAAACAAAAAGACGAAGCACCCATTGGTCTCGGCAGAAACCTTCACTCTTCGCCAAAAAAGAAACGCGACGAAGCGGGATTCTTACAGAACTCTAAAGAGGTGAATGGCGAAACTATTTGCATTTCTTGAAATCAGTCAACAGGAGTTGCCGCTCTAACAAGCGACGCTGGATGGAACTCGAAGCGCAGACGCTGAAACGGGCTGCCTTGAAGAAGGATTGGAAGACACTGTACAGACGGGTGAACATCATCACTAATGGCGGCAAACAGAGCAAGTCCAATAAGCCCTTCCCAGAGTCTGAGAGCTGTTGGAGCTGCTCCAGTAGATGATATGTAAATAGAATTTTAAGGTCCGGAATGACTGGAAATTGACTGCTCTGTTCCTTCAAAAGAAGAAATCCTGAAGTGCCCAGGCGAAACCCTACTGAACTGAATCCATCTGGTTTTGGACAGCGTCTAGCGAAGCCGGAAATCCCTGAGAACTGCAAACAGAACATAAGAATGGTTCTGATTGCGTCATATACCGAGGCATCACGCTTCTCGCTGTGCTAGAAAAGATGTTCACGCGAATCCTGCTCCGAAAACTGAAAAACTCAGAATTCTCTCGATTCGCCTCGATCAGATTAAACGCAGTTTTGAACTGGACTCTAGTATGCGAATGACATCGCTGTTCTAAAGAAGATAATCAAACAGAAAACGAGCTTTCAACTACCCACCAAGGAGCATTCCCCAGTCCAAGAAGCTTTAGAGTCGGTAAACCGTCAGTCTTTCAACGCATACTGTGGCAATGTGGAGTACCGTAGATGATAATCGATCTGTTTTAAAGTGTGGCAAGTCCGATCTATCCGGATAGCAACAAAGATCACCAAATTAAAAGTCCCGTCTTCACAGTGCTGATGTGCAATCTTGAAACATTACCTCTTTTAAAGCAGCGTAAAAAGATGTTGGACAGTTTTCAGCAGCGTTGCCTGCAGAACATTCTGAAAGTGCAATGGTTTTATCGAACAAAGGATGAAAAAATCTTGGAGATGACCGGCCTGAGTATGCTATGTGAAGAAATCAAAGACCGACATCTGTCGTTGTTTGACAGAACCATCCGGAGAGAGAAAAAAATGCAAACTTATCCAAAACCATTCTCATCTGAGAAGCAGAAAATGGGCGCATATGCGCCAGGCCAGCATCGCACCCAAAAGGAGCTGCTAGAGGCAGACGTGCTTATGACGATAGACATGTCCTGCCGCAGCCACCAGCATAACCTAAATTATTCTGAGAATCCACAGCATCAGACATAACTAATCTCGGTACTCTGCCCTTGATCCTGATACCCCAGATGACGATGACAACAACAAACTGTTCGTACGTCAAAATATGTTAAATTTTTTGGAATTACTCAATGATCAGATTTCAAGTTGTTAGTCCGTAGTTGCATGGGAGACATTAAAGCAGGCCAGGGATCATGACATTTGATTACCTGCATTCCCAGATGTATCTGTCATAAAAAAATTTAATCGTGTAGGAGTTATTCTTTATTCGACAGAGTCTGCGCATGAACATATTTTGATGCTTATGTAGTGACGTATATGGAGTGCCAGCTGCCGAGAAACATTGTTCATGGTGCGCTTGAAATCGCTCCACCGAACGAGATGATGCGAAAAGCATCTGATCCTGCAGGTTCTCAGATTTTATGCAAGCATAACCGGCTTAAATGGGCGCCCTATGCACCTTTGAAATGTGGTGTATCTTGATTGGAGAAGTTATGCATTATTTTCACTGCAAGTAGGATATAAAGAACGTCGAGAACATGTTGGTTTCTTGTGAAATTCTAATGGATTTGGTACGAAATTGTGAATTCTGACGCAAAAGTATTATTTGTTTAGATCACGTTGTAGTGTCATTTTTAATACCGACAGTTTTGTACAGGCCTCTTTGTAACGACACCAAATCTTGACGAAGAGCATATTTTTCGACCATCCCTGCTACCTGCTGTCTAAGACCTTGCAAGCATAATCCACTGAAGGGGAATATTAATTTTAATATTGCATTATACAGCCGGAAAGATAATACTTTGGCTACGAAAATGGAAGGACGCAGAGTACCGTACCATATTTCTAAGTAACAATTTTTTTCCACCTGTCGAAGTGCTTTTCGACCACATGCGATAGCGAGAATTCAGTGAATAAAAAAAACAATGCGCGTATCTTTCTATCAATCCACTTAAAGATCTACACCCGTTCGTAGCATGGCATAAAAGTTGTGTCTAATTGTTAATAGCCCATTTGCTTTCTTTTTCGATAAAGAATGCGTATTTAAACGTATCAAAGGAGAAGTGAAAGTTTTGTTTCTTTCTTTCTATTTTCATTTGAAGGTTCTTTCTACAGTGGTAACTCCGGAATTGAAAATTGACACGTGATAATTATTTGCTCTGTATAACGAAACGCGTCTTAACATTATTCTTTAAAATTTAAGCGTTCAGGTTGCATTTGTGGTGCCGATCGAACATCTGTTTTCTATTCTCCATGTCAGTAATATAGAACATATCACAACACCCTTTTTTCTGTCTTGAACATAATTTTCCATGGTGTGTATTTTTTTTATTCAAAATTTTTTCTGTCGTCATTTGAAAGTAAGTGATCCTGGCTTATAAAAACTCTATCTTTATATTCATCCTCAACGGTTCCGGTCTCAGTTTTTTATACGTGTCAGATTCTTATGACTAGAGATAGACATTAGTGATCAGATATTCATACTGAGCAGGCATATCTGCGTACTTGTGTATTTGCAGTTTTCAAAGTGGTAACATGTTTGTTAGTGACTAAGTGATTACGGCTCTTGAGCAGTACCAACAATATATTTTGGTCACCAGGTCGGCAAAATTTGGTGCGTCACCGTGTTCTGCATTTGCAGCAGTCCTTGGGTGTCTTCTAGGCTTTTGGTCAGTAAAGTTGAAATTATCACCTTGTTACCAGGCTTTCAAATGACCATGATCATGCTGTCGATGCTGTCTCATGGCTTCCATTCAGTTCAATATTAAGCGCCGGTTGATCAAGCTGTCTGTCTGTTCATCAGGAATAAACGTTTTAAGATGTGTCAGTACTTTCTTCTGTTTGCTACTCTACCAATGTATACTAGCATAGTGTAAAGGACTACACAGTTCCAGCAAATATAATCAATAAAACGTATAAATCTAGGGCAGACGAAGTGAATAATACATATATGGAATTGTTGCCCTGGCCTCAACCGTGACCTGCTCCTCCACGAATGAACTTAGGTACATTTCTCTTTGGCATATGTTTATGCGATTTAAGTTTTGATTGCACTTGAGAACAGCTTTATATATTGACGTTTCTTACCGCCAGTTTTTTCCGTTCGAAGACGGCTGCAATTTGGCTCAACGATACATTTTCTAAAGCAACTATGTGCACCTCGCTGTTGCTGATCAGCTCTACGCAATATATCAGATGAATTTTCAGCGTTAATCAGTATAGTCGGTTGTCCAACTTTTGCCATAGTGCAGCCAAGCCACAACATCTACAGGGTAATTCGAATCAACGGATATCCGTTAAACTAAGATTTACATGCATCGCTGTCGAATTCGATGTTTTTTGCCCAGGATAGATGAAGTACTATTAAAGTATACCAGTTACTTCGTTTTCTAGTGTTTTTTCTGCACTCAGTTCGTGTTTCAAATAGGTCGCTAGATCGCTTCTTTATCATTCTTCACAAATGCGACATTCTTTTCGAATGAGTCTCTATCCATATAGTTTTGGACTTTCGTTTTTAACTTGAAACAACGACCGGGCTGCATAATCGTTTTAAATGACGTTCTGGATGATACTGCCAGGGCGGAAGTCTTTTGCTCTGATCTTTACTCTTTGGCTAGTTTTGTAAAGCAGACGCATCCTACAGTAAGTTTCAGTGCCCTAACAGAACGATGACCGTACGCAGCCATTTTCATCGTACCACTGTTGCTTTAACTTGTGGTGTATTGACACCACGTCTAAGGTCTGAGGTCAGGAAGTCTACTTCGAACTCCGTAAG